CCAGGCAGGGGGTGGGGGTGGGTGGGTGTACCACTGGGAGGGAGCTACAGCTACCCTGAAGTTTGCCGTAACCCCCTTATAGCCCCCTGCGGTACCACCACCTGCCCTGTGCCCTGCTCAGGCAGCCCAGGCTTCATGAGGAACAGCCTGGCCCCAGCCCAACCCACCCAGCACAGATCCAGGGCCCACAAGCCTTCCTGTGCCCTCCTGGACAAGTGACAGCAGCAGTGTTGGGAGCCACTGGACGAGCCACTGGACCAGCCACCTCCCCCTTCACCCACACCTCCCCCAAATGAGCCCTTCTCCATCCCAAACCCCCAGAAGAACTGTGGCTTCATCCCTGATCCCTCCCTGACTTGGCAGGGCTTGCCCCTGCCCCAGCCCCTGCCTGCCTCCCTCACAGTGTACTGATGAAATCTACATTTATAGCTTGCAACTTATGAGCCTATGTAAAGAATTTAAAAATGATGCAAATAATTACTTCAGTGCAAGTAGTATTGTCTCTAGCCTTGGGGTGATGTAACATTTCAGCAAGACATTTACAAAAGCAATATAGTAAGATAAATAGAGGATCTATGCAGAAGAGAAGCAACAGCATCTACCATAACCAACATGCTCCCTTCCCCGTTCTGTATGCTGGACAGTTGAAGCATGGACTATGAAAGGGTTAGCATATGGAGAAGAGAAAGTCCATTCTGGTATACCACCAATGCAGTGAATCATGACTGCAATTTTATAATCCTCTGCCTCAGGCTTTGTGACTACAAGGTATAAATCGAAGCTTCTGTTCCCATTGCCTCCCATTCTCCCCAAGACTTCCAGTAAAGGCTAATGCTGGTGGAGATTTGAAATGTTCCGTTTTTTTTTTTAGTTTGAATGAAAGCTGTAACTGCCTTAAATCAAGAAGAGCCCATGATCTCCCATGAGATCCCAGACCTGCTTTGGCTAAAACTGGCAACAGACATTTTTGACCTACAGGGACAGTCCTATTTGATCATAGTCAACTATTACTCCAAGTACTCAGAAGTTTTGCACCTGCCAGACAAAACAGCTGGCATGGTAGTAGCCAAAATGAAGTCTGTGTTTGTATACCTAAACAGGTTGTTTGTGATCATGTGCCATTTGCAAGTCAGATGATGAAACAGTTTGTGCCTGACTGGGGCATAACCATCACCCATTCTAGCCCAGGTTACCCACAATCCAATGGTCAGGCTGAACACACAGTTCAGACGATTAAATCAACGTTTAAGAAGACTTTGCAGGATGGATCTGATCTATATCTGGCTTTACTCAATCTGCAGAACATGTCCATTACCAGTCTTGAGTATGCTCCAGCACAGCTTCTGATGGGGAGACTTTTGTGCATTACCCTCCCTGCTATAATGGCAGTGCTAACTCCTAGACTACCGTCGAATGCCACCCACAAGTTGCAGAACCTTCAAAGGTGCCAAAAGGAGCACTGTGACCACATGGCTGCATTCCTGCCACCTCTATGAGACGGGGAGAAAGTAAGGATGCAAACAAGTACAGGTTGGACACCAGCATCTGTCATGACAAAAAGGGATGAACCGTGCTCCTATGTAACAACAACCCTGAGCACTAATGTCTATAGGAGGAACAGGAGACACTGAAGAAAGGATTACTCATCAGTACCAGCAGAACATGTCAATGTACCTCGAGAGACGGCAGCAGAACAAACTTCAGAAGAACCAGACCACCACGAGCAAGAGTTTCATCAGATTCCACAGAGTCCACCAGTACCCAGAGGAACCTGATGACACCACGCAAACTAAGTGTGGACATGTGATGAGACTGTCTGTGAAGTACAAGGACTATATAATGGGATAGCGGTAAAGGCTAAACCCCACTGATGAGCCAAGTGCTAGCAACCTTTGGCTCCATGATCCTGAAACGTTTCATGTTAAAGTAGAACCTGATGAACATCCAACTATTTAAGAGAGAGCTCCCAGAGTAAAGAAGGGAGATGTGGTATATGGAATGTACCTTTAAGGGGCCAGCAGTGGGATGACCCAGTCTCTCCCCCGATGCCCTGTGGGTGTTGTTTGTGGTGATGGGTAGTTGTAGTGCTCCCTGCATGATGTGAGCATGTGAGTTGCCGAATCCTGTTCTTAATAAAGATAAAGCTGTTTACCACCCCATTGGTCTCTGCTGAATGGTGACTCGAGGACAGAACCCCAAAAGGCATAGAGGTGTGAGTGAGTACCCTATCCCTGGAACCCAATGGCATAGAGCAAACATTATATCCATGAGATGTAATGGAGGATCCATGTAGTTTGACAGGAATTCCACTAAACTGCTCCTCTCCTCTGCTGATCTACAAGCCCACTTGCTTCTGCTACTGACAGCTCAGAAGTAACAAACAGCATCTCCAAGCAGCAGCAAACTGTCACTACTGCAAGTATATGTGGAAACGTATCATAGATACAAGGCTAGCCTACTGAAACAGAGCCCATCCAAGAGGAAACTCAGTAGCTGACAGAGCCCTGGCATCTACCATTGAACTGATTTATTTTCTTCCCCTCTTACTACTCTTCAGTTCTCTCACATTCCTTGCCAATTCATTTGCAGAACAGGAAAAGTTTCCATTGGCTTTGTCCACAGCAGATTAATTTTTTATCACTAAAGTTACCTACATTCTTGTTCTCTTGCTGCCCTACCCATTTTTATGCTGGATCCAAATGCTTTGCATGTATTTTGAAGACTCAGCAGTGCAGACCTATGTCAAAACTTCCCAATATTAAGCAGAAGGTACTTTAAGTTGATTGAGCAAATGGACTATTGAGATAAACAGGGAAGAAGGTGCTGGTCTCATGTTACCAAAGATAATATAATGCAATGTGAAATGGCACTGTTGAGGAGCTATTTCACTGCTATTTCCCACAGACAGACAGACAGACAGACAGACAGACAGACAGACAGACAGACAGACAGACAGAGCGTGTGGGAAATAGCAGTGAAATAGCTCAAAGATACACGCACACAGACACACCCACCCCAGCACAGAAGAAATTCTTATTTTTTGTACTTTTCAGCCCTCCCACAGAACAGAAAAAAATTCTGTTTATAAACCAAACTCCCAGTCTCACAATGCAAAGCATGAACTAGTGGCCACTTGAGATGGCACAGAGTCACTAAAGTCTGCCTGCACAGATTCAATTAATGGACTGGAATCTTACACAGAACACAGATAACTTACATGAAATCTCCCTGCAATCCATAAACATCAGTAATTAGGAACACTTTTTTTTTCTCCCACTCAGCTATGACATCTTTCAACTGCAGTCCCTGGCAAGGCCTTTTCCCTGCACTGCCTTTGGCTCCATCTTTTTAATTAGGCATTGGACTATTTTAGAAACAAGGGCCTCTCCAATGAGGTTGGAATTAATAGTCCAATTAATAGCTGTCTCCCTGCTGTGCTTTCAGTAAGTGTCCTTTTAAAGTAAAGGAAAGGAAAACAAATCACAAAGCTTTTCATAGTCTGACTTTATCTTGTAAGAGACATGCATATTACCCCTACCATTTTTATACAAGTTCCACCCCTGTCCCCCCAGTTCCCTGTAAACTTTTAAGGTAGCTGACAATAAAAGATTTTTTTTTGTTTTTAAAGTCGCTTAGTGACTGCAAAGTAACACTTCAATGTGTTGCATAAAGCAGCATCACTAATATAAACACTGTGGGGGAAATAGCAGTTAGCTGCTACAGAGCCAGAATTTTGGGTCATGGAGCATTTTATTTTTGTGCTTACTAAATAAGCATAGGCTATTTTTAAAAATTCTCAGCAAGTAGTAGTAGTTTTAAAAACAGAAGCCTAAATATTTAGAAGTCAAGAGAATTACAAAATTTGTGACTGTGTTCTTTATAAAGAAAAATAATACTGACTAGCTATTTCCATCACTATTCTCAGCCTACAGAAGGGGAAAGAGAGGCCCCAGCATGATTTGGAGACAGCAATTTTCCCAATGTCATGCAACAGGGCAACAGCAGAACCAAGAAAAGAACCCAGGTCTTCTGAAACCTAGTCCAGTCCAGGCAGCCCTGCTTCTGTAACAAGTCTACTACATGGATCAAAAGTTGTATCTTATAATGCAAGTTTAACTTTACACCCCCTGTTGCTTCCCAGCTGTGGCATCCATGTGGGGGCAGCAAGGATGCAGCTTCCAGCTGTCTAGCCCCAGCACAGGTCCCCACTGGCTGGAAGCTGCACCTGCATCCCTGATAAGGAGCAGGGGACTGGGAGAAGCAGCAGTGGTGCAGGTGCAACTTCCAGATGCCTGGTGCCAGCCCAGATGCAGGGATTGCTGACATGCGATGGAAGCCACCCTAGCCTACATCAGACCAGAGGTAGGCTGCCAGAGCCTGAGACTTGAAAAGGTTGCCAGACACTGCTTTAGATGCAAAACATTTTTTTTTAAATAAGACTAACTTCAGAAATAAAACCAGAACTAAAATTTAGTATTTGGATCAGCCCTTCCTTTAAAAGGAAAAATATTTTATATTGAGTTTTCAGTACCTCTTTTCTTCCTCATTTTTTAAAGTTCTTCCCCTGACAAATCTCAACAAATGGATTCCACAGCTGTGGACACAGAACAAATCACCACAAGCTTGAGATGTACAAGATGTCTCGTTAGAAAAACACGCTCTATTACTGACTGAAAACAGCAGTACATTTCTTAACACTCCCAGCATTAATGTATAAAACTTCTAAATGCACAGCACATTAAGAGAGCTTCATACACTAGTAGTTAAATGCACGCTCTTTGCAGAGAGTTGCAATTGCCTGAGTATCAGTTTTCTGGGACATGTGAAAACTTGCTTTTAAACTTGTAAACAGCTCAGCTGTACCTGTCAATAGCAGCCTGTACTGGGGAATCCTTTGAACTGGCTTGAGGAGATAGTGCTTGAGTGCTAGACTAGCACAGCGAGGGCTCATCTGAAAGATAAAACGCACATAAACAACAACAATCTCCCAACTGTGAGCAAAAGATTCCCTGTTGGCAAATGAAACACATCCCCTAATTACTGATCGATTCAATGAGCTGCAGTGGCACACTTTGTGGTATTCTGACTTAATTTTACAGAAGAACACAGACGTCTGCTATACCAGGGTAAGGTTAATCTTTCAGATGCGTTATCAGCACTGCAATTCTAATCACTCCCCCGCATGGAAGAAAATATGGAAAAACCAGTCATGTGCCATAAAATTAGGAAGACAGAAGTATACATTGTATGCGTGAATTCAACATATTTTCATTTCTTTTAAAAGGAAAAGAATAAGATAACTCTCCCTAGCAATAAGAGAGATCAGACAACCAACAGTAAAGGCATCAGAGAGACAGGCTCATTTATGATCAGTTGTTAACAACTGGGTGGATCAGAGGAAGACTGCAGTGTTCTTTACAGAAGTTTGTGATGAAAAGCCCAAAGACAAAAAAAGTAAACATTTTTAGAGTCATGCTCCAACAGGTTTAATTGCCACCTTGGTTTCATCTAAAGATAATACTACCTGTATCAGCAAAAGCCACCTTCATTAACAAGATATATTTTACCATTTTGCTATTTTAGGTCTTGGGTTTTTTTGTCCTGCCTCTTGGCTCTCTGGTCTAACTTCAACCTGCTTCTCCACTTACAATAAGTAGCCTATCTAACCTTGTGTGCACATATGCAAACACAGCAGAGGCCATTCAATATGATGCATGTATGAAGTGGGCATATATCTGTGAGCACATGTATGCAGAGCAACAGGTCCTATGTGGTTTCATGGTTAAATTACTGCATTTCTGCTTGGAAAGACAAAAGCATTGTGTTGATCTGAGCAGTTCCTTACATGTCCATTTCAACAATACTTTCATGATGGAATTAGGTTTATTTGTCATCTTGGCAAAAACAAGTGTTCTCTGATGTTTATTCTAGATCATGGGTTGTCAACTGGGGCTACACGTACCCCTAGGGGGGCTTGACAAAGCCCTAGGGGGTATGCACAGACAGGTGGGGACACAGCACCATCCTGCACTGCCATGCAGGCACCACCCACCTGGCCAGATGGGGAAGGGAAAGCTCGCATGCAGCAGCTGCCACCACTCTGCATCCAGCCACGCACTATCCCCCGCTCCGTGTCTGATTGCCGGGGGTACACTGATCCATGTCCAGCCGCCAGAGGTACGCTGATCCAAAAAGGTTGAAAACCCCTGTTCTAGATCATGCATTTAGAGCTTATGTATCTTCTTTGATCTGTTGTAAGGGGATTAAGTAAGAGCCTGGCACTGGTTCATGATGACAATCTGTTTCTGCATGACTATGGCATCTGTTACGTTTAAATAAGTACAACATTTTACCCAGTCTTGAAGCGTTATGAGTGACTAGTTATTTTGTTTACCTGCCTTTTTTTTTTTTTTTTTTTTACAAAA